ATAGATGAGACCTACATCAGTCTTAAAACAAAATATGTTCTTTGTTTAGGTACAGTATACACAGAGATGATATCATGTTAATGATCATTGGCTCCTCCATTTGTTAATAATGCAATTTGCAGATTTATTAAGTAAACAATATTATTACTAGGCTATATATACTAGGTATACTTCTTCTTAAAACATAAGAATCAGACATATAATATATTTTACCAGTTAAGACCTACGCTGAAGACATTGAATAAAGAAAATAAATGCTATTCAAACTGTTGATGTGTTTTAAGAATACATGCAAATCAAAAGTTCATGTGGTCAGAGGCTCTTAGAGCTGAATGGTTACATCAGGAGCACTTCAGGAAGATTAGTGAAAAACTGTTACAAAGAATATAAATAGCTTTAATTCTCTAATATTTGAATTAACTAAGATATAGTCTGAAACAGTTTTGTATCACATGAATATTCTCTTATTTGAGGAGTTCCAATCAGTGTTGGAAACTCCAGAATCTGATGTTAGTGCGGAGTTCAAAATGAATTTCCTAAAATCCAATGTGTGCATCAGCTATGAACTCTTAACTTTTTGAATGACTTACCAGCTGGTAGGCGTATGTTTCCTTGCCTGGAAACCAATCTTTGTTGTTTCTTAACAGATCTTTGATTAAAGTCCGAATTACTGAGTTAGACTATAAAATATAAAAACTGCAGCCTCAGAATTCTTAGAAAAAAAGTTTTTAAAGGAAGGGCTGATGTACATGAAAATAACAAGTACACATTCAAGTAGTTTGTTTGGAGTACTGGTATCTAATGATATGTCTCTAGGATGGATAACTTAAAATAACTCTGTGTATTAAATATATTTGTTAAGAGTATTTAAAAATATTAATAATTTAATAAGACTATTTTAACTTTATTGCTAATTAGTGTCAGGAATGTGAGGTTCTGGTACAAAAGTAATTAAAACTTTCCTAGATCAACCTATTTTCTAGCCAAACATGATTCACTGTAAATAAAGAATATAAAAGATTTTACAAATAAGTTTGCCATTATAGATTTTGTAAAAAAAAAAGAAAGAAGATATGATTAATTGTTTACTTAAAAACCACAAGAAATTTCAATATGTGGAGTGTGGAGTCGATTTCTTGAAAATATGGTGGATTCGTACAAACCTAAAAAATTGGATATTAAGGAATAAGGATACATTATTCAAGAGCTAAATTTGCTTATTACAGGTCTTTTTTTAGGCCTTAAATGTTGTATAGATTATTAATTAGACATTTATTAACATGACAAGACCATAATCAATGCTTGATACTATCAGATACTCAAGATTTCAACTAGATTAGAACGGTTCGGTCATTTAATAATTTAATTTAAAAATCAAGAAGCAAGGCTTAGCCTCAAATATATCGATATGGTGGTTATGATAATAACCTTGTCAGTACTTAAATTTAAAGATCTATTTAGCAGTGTTGGGTGTAACAGACTGTAACATGCAAGCAGGGTACCCTACCCTTTCATGAATACTTGGTACCACTTTCCATTATGGGACGTCATTGAGTTATTTGATTGTGCTGAATTTAGCTGCTGGACTGTGTATATGACCACTAGGATTGATTGTGCTTGAATTTGATTATTCTTGTAGATTCACTTAAAATAATAACCAATGTTTAATATTGATGAGGTTCTCACAGAAGTTTTGAATTACCGGTAAAAATTTTCTTATACAATGAGGAAAGCAAACAAATTTCTGGTTTCAAAATTGTATTTGAATTTTATGTTGAAAATCATTCTGTTCCTGTTCAACATTTATATGCAGCTTTATTTTGTTTACATAGGATTTTTCCAATGTCAGATTATCTCTTAGTAACTGGAATTATTTTGCTGCAAGCAAAAGATTGAGTCAATTAGTACTAGGAATTGTCTAGTTATTTCAACATATTCGACGCCTTGCGTAGATGAATAAAGAACGCATCAGAGGTTTATAAACTTCTTACAGGATGTATTCTTGTTTTTGTAATACATATGATTAGGTTGATATGTTTGCTAATCCAAGATAGAAATCTTCTTAGGCAACTTGTCATCCTATTTCTTAGCAAGGGTCATTCAATACTAAAACAGAACAATGCAAACATGGAGAACTGTGAAATCCTGATATCTGTATTTCCGTTATGCTTTTTAGAATGTTGATTGAGTTTGATTAGTATTTTCTGAATAGATATGCAGAGATTACAAAGCCTTGAGACACAACAACTCTGCTTTAGATTTCGGCAGAATGTTTAAACTTGGGGTAGATGTTTATTAGATGAATTCAGTGATGACCATTTTCTGCTTAGGCTAGGCAGAGGTAAACAATTTGATTGATAGATGCTTTAATTATATAAAGCCTAATATACATGTAATTAATGAGTGTAATCTCTTTGATATGGGATTGTGGGGGAGAGGGGGGGGGGGGGGCGTGTCACCTACTGTTGACTTGTTGTACCTTATCTGAGAAATAAGAACAAAATTGTTCATCAAATGATGAGTCAAAGTTTGTCCAGACATAGAAAAAGGCTTTATTAACCTAAATACAATTTGTGGCCCATGACAATTTTCAGCAAATGTCATGATGTCAGATCTCTGCATGTTGATGACATTCATACAAAAATTAAGGTCAGCTGAGTAGCTGCAGGACAAACAACATGCATCATTCATTCATCAATAATTCTAGGTATTGGTGTGTTGTGCGTGAAAAATAAACTAAATAACATTGATATTGAAGGTCATTATTTTATTAATGTCAAATATATTATCATCAAATGATAAATACCAGTCCTGTTTTAAGCATGTATATTTTCAAACTGTTATATTTATTCCAAAATGAAATGGCCAGCTAAACAAAATATTCAAATTCACCCTAAAAAAATTGTTGAAAACAAAGGATCAGAATGGTTTCGTGTCATGCAAGTTTATGATATATACACGTAATTATCTGAATTTAATAGTTGACAAAGAATTTAAGCTTAGCACATATATATGATCTTGGTACCTCTTTAGTCTTTAGACTACAATGTGAATGGCTTATAAATAGCAACAGAAGTTGTCATCAGATCAATTTGAAGTTTATTTTAGATTGGCAAGAAGGCTTTCAAATTCCATCTGTTGCAGATATATTCTGTAAGGGTTATTGTCGTTGATCACTTGGAAAAATCTTGTGAAAGGTGTATAAGCTATGGTCTATCATTAGGTCTACTTGAAGCCTATAAAATTTCGACAATTTCTGGTTTTTTCAGCCCTTGTTAAATTCTTGTAAATTGATTCCACCCATTGTTTAGTGAACATTTGAATACAGTATTTAAAAAAATAATTATGATACAAACTTCAATAATATTTTTTTTAGAATTGAAATCAGGATTTATAATTTTGATGCATTCATAAATTAATTAGATATCTTAGATATCAAAAATAGCCAACATCAAAAAGTACATGTACCTTATTTTGGATTTCTTTTTTAAGGCTTTCAACCTTTTCTCTGATGAAAATTTTGAAATAAAGGCTTCTAGAGTGAGGAGAATGGTATGTCAGTAACAGACAAGAATTTTTTAATTAAATTAGACTAAGCACAGTTAGAAATAAGCTCTTCTATTTTGCATATTTTGGAAATGCTAAATCTCTATCTTCTAATTAATACACTGCTTTAGATCTTTATGATATGTTTTTAAATCAAAATCCGTATAGCTCTCTGATGATTGGCTTTATGTGTAGTGCACATACAGACTGTTGAAACATCACAACATTTTTATAAAGATCACCATTTATTACATTTATTAAAGTTTTCACTGCAAATCTATTCATTTTTATTACACTATTTGAATTTTGTGTATTGAATATTGTTGTGGTTCATTAAAGACAGTGCTTTAGAAATAAGATGTCCATGTGACAAACCCATCCAACAGAAAATTGTGCAATACAAATCTTGATCCCTCATCCTACCCTCAAATTTAGAAATACCGTCTCTGCTACAGCACATAGTTCATTAAGTGCCGAGAAGGTTAGTTTTCATGCATCTTTGGAATATGTATTCTGTGTCAAAAACAAATTCAGCTGACTGCCACGTTTAAAATAATTGCACATTATCATAAAATCTCCATTTTGAGGATTTCGCTATCAAATTATAAAATTAAGGGTGATCTTTGTTCATGTCCAGAACATTGTTCATGAAGAGCAGACATCTATGGTAGAGAAAGTTAGCCAGTAAATGTGTCCTAATTGTTTTTATATATGTATATAGTGATCATTTTTAATTGAGAATAGCTATTTTACATTTTCAATATCCCCTTCGTGAGTAGATTTTTATTACATTGAGCAGTGACATGGTGAAAACGAAACATTTGTCCAAATATGAATATTGTTTGATATTTTATAAAGTCTACTGAGTCTAATAATATGTAGAATATTTTTGTACAAGATGAAATGGATTAAATTGTGATGTGTTTAGGCATTATGGGCTACAATCTTCAAGCTTAGTAGCTAAAGAACAACTTTTTAACAGATAAAATGTGCATGTATTTTTCTATATAAAATGAAAATGTTGTACTGTCAGTGAAAAGAATTTATGTGTTGGTGACAAAATATCCTTGAAGTGTCCTCATATAGTACTACAAATTTCAGAAGTCCCCCCCCCCCCCTTGATATGACATATGACATCCCATCTGACCAATGAATAGATATACATTTTGTCTTGAACCAATGAAAAAGGAATAAGCCACACTTACAACACATGTACACAACTGATAAAAAGCAGTTATATCTTCATTTAATGTACACCAAGAAATTTTGAAAGCAGACCTAAAGAAAGATCTGATTGCATTAGTTCCAGTATCCCTGGAGATGAATTTCTTCATTGATTCAGCATGTAACTTAAGGGTCTAAATGTTTGAAACCAGTGTTATTTGTGTTCATTTTGAGAAATATTTTTAGCTGTGTATATAATTATATTTTATGTTTATTATGTTTGATTTTAGCAAATAAATCTCGAGGTATGAGTATTTTATGTTACAGAGACTTTAATTATTCACAATGTCCCTTGTTTTACCACCCCAAATAACAAGATTACAAGACTTTCAACTCCAGGCATTATTACTTTAAAATCTTTAATTTTTAGAAAAATCTTAAGATATAATAATTAATTTCCTTGGAAAATCTTGTAATCTTTGAATTTGATACAAAATAAATTTAGATGCGCTAGATGAAAATAAACCTCAACTAAAACAAACATTAAAAAGATTCTGTTCCATTTTGTTAATGAAAGTATCAAGCCAATACATAAACAGGTCATCTAGAATGGTACTTGACCTCATATATTTATTGTTTTAATCACTTGTATTAGCAGCGATGTAGTCTCCATCACTGCTGCTAAAAACAATCTCTTCTTCAATAACAATAAGCATTGGTCTGGACAAAATAGTGTCAATTGCATATTTCAGAATTATGTAGAATGCATTGTTAATTGTTGGATTGAAAGAGCATTTCTCAAAAGTCATTGCATGAACTGTATACCCAACAGCTAGACAGCCAGTTAATGTATACACAATCAGACACTATTTTGAACATTGAAATCATAGTGGAGACAATTTGAGATAGGGCAATAAGACTTAACAAAAATGTTCAATCTATTTGAGTGTTGTCATGAAGGGACTATTTGGAATGTTTCATGAAATTTTCAAATCTCCATCAAGAACCAAAAATATGGAACAGAATCTAGAATGTTTATGTTTAGATATGACAGGGTTTTTTGTACAAATAACAACTAGTACTCCAAATCTAACTTTTTTCATCAGTACATGTTGTGTAATTGGTTTGAAAAGATGTAGTTAATATCAGTTTGAATTTTATTGAGAGTGTTTCCATGACTGATTTACTGAGGTTTGATGAGAATGTTAGATTAGTTGTGTGTATTATATGTAGAGCTGAAAGATATAGATGTATTGAAATAACTTTCCATTTAGAAATTAAATTTACTTTAATGTCTGTGTACTGTTCTATGCTTATTCAAATGTGTAAAAAATAGTGATGACATATAACTTTAAATTTCAAAGCCATTTCTTTAGAATAGAAAGTCTGCTTTAATATTTTCAAGTTGTTTTTTTGCTGCTTCTAGCAGAGATTTCCTAAATATATTTTAAAAAGTTTATGTGGTGTGATTTTTATAATCCTACAAAATATAGACCAACTCTTCATTCATTGCAAGTATTCTCAAATAATATGGCAGAAATTACATGAAATATTAGTCTATAATAATATATACATAAATCTCCCCAGTATAATTAAACACTTAGGTATAATAATATGTTCCAAATATCAGAAGTTATATTTCATACATAAAAACGAAAACTAAAATAATATACAACACAGTAGACGGATACAACATCTTGGAAGTTACGACTGTAACCTCGAAATTAGTTAACAGACTTAATAATAATGTTTCTGTATATAATTTACTGTACTTTAATGTTTCAAAATATATTATTAATTCTCAGTACTAGTTTTAATTATCAATAAATTAAATTATCTTCTTTAAAAAGAAAAAACAATTTTTGTAAACAACTGATTAGGAGATTAGGACAATATTTAACTGGTCATATCAAAGACCGCTTTTATTGAAATTTATTAATATTGATTTATTTTGATTGGTGTATTATAAATAATGTGACTTTATTATGTATGTAGCTATATCATATGTATGTGCTTTCATTGACGATAAACTGATTTTTTTTTTATACGCCCACATTTTCATGTGGACGTATATTGTCGTTGCCCAAGTCCGTCCGGATGTCGGTCTGTCCGTCAGTCCATCCACAATTTGTTTGTGGACACTCTACAGGTCACAATTTTTATTTGATTTTGACGAAACTTGAAATATAGGTCTATCTCCTAACGATCTCAGTTCCTTTCGATATTAGAATATATTGGACCATAACGTCATAGATTATGACCCCTGATTGTATGAAAAATCATGTTATTAGCTTGTGGACCCTCTAGAGGTCACAATTTTCATCTGATTTTGATGAAACTTGAAATGCATGTTTATAACCCAAAGATCTTGGTTCTTTTTGATATTCATGCATATCAGATCGTAACTTCCTGAATTATGGCCCTTGATTGTACCAAACAATTGCGTTTTTAGCTTGTGGTCCCTCTAGAGGTCACAATTTTTATCTATTTGAAAAAAAAAAATGTTACACCCTAATGACGGCCGAGTTAGAATTTTGTGAAAATCGAACCAAAACTGCCGGACAAAATGGCCGCCCCTCGTACGTAAAATAGTGTAAATATATGGTATATTTAGGTTGTGGACCCTCTAAAAGTCACAATATTGATTCGATTGTGATGAAACTTGAAATATATCATTATAACCCAAAGATCTTGGTTCCTGTCAGTATTAGCGCAGATCGGATCGTAACTTCCTGAATTATGGCCCTTGATTGTACTAAAAATTGCTTTTTGTTTAGCTTGTTCTCTATCCATCTCTTGCCATCAACACAGAATAAAGACAAAATATTTATTTTGGTGTTCTATATTATCACCTTGATAGTATATAAAGACTTGGCTTTGTGATTTAAAGGATTTATATTTATGGGTTTTTGATTGTGTTTGTTTAAGTTAGAAAAATATTCTTGCTTGAAGAAGATTGAAAATGTTATTCAACAGTTTGTGAAAACCATCAATAATAGCTGTTGAAATTATCTAATAATTTGGAGATTGTGATACCTAGATTAGTTTCCTTACTGAATGCAAGCATGCATTTTCACTGATTGACAGCATGCTTTGATCTAAACTGATAAAATAAATGTTTTTCAAAGATAATGACATTTTTTTTTTACATCTAAAGCCAGAATATTTTTTAAAACTTAAAACAATTTTTGAACTATTGTACATGGTACTATTGAGCCAGTACACAGTCATAACACATGTATAATTTAAAGATGTGTATGAATGGCCTGACAACTATAATGAAGCTACAAATTAGATTTATTTAGAATTAGGGAAGAATGTACATACCGTTATATGGTTGTTAAGACAGGTGTAGGCCTACTGTGTTTTAATTAAACTGTGACTGAAATGGCACCTCATTTATAGCGAGTAGATTAATTTATATACATTGAACTGTATGTATTTTATTATACAGTAAAGTGGACATAAGCTTCAAAGTAACTGTTTTTTCAATGAATTTTGTTTCTATATTTCAGTTATTTGCTGTAGATAACTGTGTGGAAGATTGGAGGATTGCTATATCTGTAAAAAGAGGAGTTCAAGTTTTTGTTGAACTTGCAGTGTGTGCTATTCATCCCATACCTGGTGATTTTACTTTTAAATGGACAACACCACAAACTGATAATCGAAATCCTATAACAAGTGTGGTTCCAGTTGATGTTGTACTCTCCATCCCAATGTTTTTACGACTTTATTTAATATGCCGTGTTATGCTACTTCATAGTAAACTCTTTACAGATGCCTCATCCAGAAGTATAGGGGCTCTGAACAGAATTCATTTTGATACACGTTTTGTTCTAAAGACGTTAATGACAATCTGTCCAGGGACTATCCTACTAGTATTTATGCTGACTCTGTGGATAATTGCAAGTTGGTTGCTCCGTGCCTGTGAAAGGTAAGAATCTCATACGTGTATGTCTTTCTCCCAACGTAATATATATTGTGAGTGATTATCTCTAAGATAGAGAGCCAGATTCTACATACAACAACAGTATCACATTTGAAAATCATTTGAAGAATGACAATTTCGCCATGGACAAGAAATCTTATTCTTGATCTCCTCAATAGACTTGATGATCCACTGCTAGATAATGAGATATATCTAACAGTGACTTAATATAAAAGTGAAATTGAGTAATCAGTTTTTTGATAGCAGCCAATTTGAAAAATTTCATCCAAAAAAAAAATAATAATTATGAAAAAGTGCAAATTTGTGGCATTTTTTTTCCAGAGTTTCAGTCAAATATTTGGCAGAACCTAATCACAAAAATAAGATTTTATGCTTATAAACGGACAATTCATTGTACATGTATTAATAATTTATAATTTTACGCTTATTTGACTATTTATATCCCAACAAAATAAACCTTAGAAATTGATCCATTAGTTGAATTTTCTATTTGCTAACTGATCATACTTGTAGTAAAAGCATATCTGTAAAACTACCTTATATGCCGGTAAGTTCATAAACGAGTGACATTTGAAAATCAATAAATTCTTTTTAAGGAAACAAGAATATTTTTTTAAACTATAATAAAAAATAATCACCTCCTACATGGCTTCTTACTTTGTTTACAAGATAGATGTCAAACATTGCTCAATTTGAGATCCGGTGTTGTAGGGTGAAAGAGTGGGCGAGAAGGGAATTTACATAAATCTAAAAGTAGAGAGATTAAATAAAAAATAATAATAAAAATTTCATAGGTCAATATATTTTAAAATATCCAAAACAATTAGCAGTAAATGTACAGATCTAATCAATTTGAATCAAATTAAATTTTATATCCAATTCCTACTGCCAAGGGTTCTTTTACGCATTCGCCAATGTGTACATGGGACCATGGTATTTTATCTTTTCCAAGCGACTATACATTTTCACTTGCCAGGCCCTCTGTACTGCACCACTGACAAGGGGGAACCACACCAGAAAATCTAAATGAACTTTCCTAACCAGTGCTGTATCAAACAGGGGCCCTGCAGGTTAGCGAGCCACCGTCTTACTCACTAAACAACCTCAAATATAGACAGCTAAAGCTTATCCCAGTACAAGTAGGCTTAAAGTGTTTTGTAGTGGTATAAATAATCTGTATATGATTATTTTGATGATTGTCCAACCTCGTGGGATTTCTCTGGGTCCTCCGGTTTCCTCCCACTGCTAAAGACCCCTATGCGCAAGCAAATTATTGAAATAAAATTAAACCATATGTTAGTCCTGAAATGACCTAGTCTGCGTCGAGTGGACATTAAACCCCATTTCTCTCTCTCTCTCTCTATTTTGATGAAAATAGCTGACTGAAAAGCCGATTTTAAAGAAACTTGAAATATATCTTTATAACCCAATGTATTTTTGTGTTTTAGGCTAAAGTTCCTTTGTCTTTAATTGCATTAGATTCTTACTAAACCATATCCATATATTTTTGGATGTGGAAGTGTTATTGATAAATTTTGATTTGTATCTTAGAAAGATATTTTTTAATATTAGTCACGTCTAGAATGTTAATTTGGGTAATTTAACCAAAGATTTCTATGAGTTTAAAACCAATAAATCTTTAAACACTTTTGGGAAGCATATAAAGAATATATCCATATTGCATTGATTGCAGAATTATATTTAAACTCAAGGAAATCTCATATTAATATATATTCAGAGTGACATTAAAGGTGTGACGGCATTCATACAAAATGACTGTTTAGTGTTTACCCAGGACTATCATTGACATAATTTGGTACACATTTGCCTGAAAACGTTGATAGAACCCTCAACGAATTGTCGCTTTAATTAAAATAGTAATTGTGTTCCATATTATGTTTTTGTGTTGATTACATGTGTCAATTGCTAAATGCCGCTTAAAGAAAATAATTTGGCATTGTTCCTAAGTATTTTCTATTAAAAAAAACACCCACATAATTCATCCCAGTTCTTCCATATTTATTGTTTTTGTCCCCCGCCTTTCGAAGAAAGCAGGTGACTATTAAAATGGGTTCGTCCGTCCGTCTGTCCTTCCGTCACACTTTTTGGGACACAATAACTCTCCTTCTTGACCTAGAATGTTCAAACTTGGTGTAGGTGTTTATTAGGTCAATGCCTTGATGGAGTTCGAAGATGAGCATTTTCTGCTTAGGGTAAGCAGAGATAAGCAATTTGATTAGTTGATGCTTTGGGACACGATAACTTTAATTCTAATTAAGTGAGAGTGATGAAACTTGGTGTATAGTTTCATTACATCAATACCTTGACTAAGTTCGATAACGAGCATTTTCTGCTCAGGGTAAGCAGAGTGATAAGCAATTTGATTGACCGAGACTTTGGAACACAATAACTCTCCTTCTAATTGAGCTAAAATGTTCAAACTTGGTGTAGGTGTTTATTAGATCAATGCCTTGATGGAGTGTGAAGATGAGCATTTTCTGCTTAGGGTAAACAGAGATAAGCAATTTGATTGGTTGATGCTCTGGGACACAATAACTTTAGTTCCACTTAAGTGAGAGTGATGTAACTTGGTTTATAGTTTCATTACATCAATACCTTGACTAATTTCGATATTGAGCATTTTCTGCTTAGGGTAAGCAGAGTGATAAGCAATTTGTTTGGCTGAGACTTTGGAACACAATAACTCTCCTAATTGAGCTAGAATGTTCAAACTTGGTGTAGGTGTTTATGAGGCCAATGCCTTGATAAGAGTGCAAAGATGAGCATTTTCTGCTTACAGTAAGTAGAGATAAGCAATTTGATTGATTAATGCTTTGGGACACAATAACTTTAGTTCTAATTAAGTGAGAGTGATGAAACTTGCTGTATAGTTTTATTACATCAATACCTTGACTTAGTTAGATGATGAGAATTCTCTGCTTAGACTAAGGAGCAATAAGCATTTTGATTGGTCAATTGAGGTAGAATGTTTAAACTTGATGTAGATATTTGTCTTGAAGGAGTTCAATGATTAACATATCGAGCTAAAGCTAAGCATTTTCCTTGGTCGATGCTTTGGGACAAGATAACTTTGATTCTATCTGATAGAGAGTTTTCAAACTTAGTGTATAGTTGATAATCAGTTTGATTGCTCGATACTTTTGAAAAAAATAGATGTGCGATTAATTAATACAAATGTATGTGTCATCTATATATTTGGGGATTTCGGCGGGGGACATCAGCCTCACTGTTGGCTTGTCTGTCTTATTTCCGTGTAAAACAGTGGATAGTCGACTTTTTGAATATATATATATAGATAATGGTTTGATATAAATCCATAGCTCTCACAGTTTTATATTAAACTATGTGTGATACTTTTAAATTTCGGTGATTTCTCATATGTATATACACCCACATTAGTGAAATTGAAAAGTGATCATCACCCCTGTCCATCCTCCGTTCATCGACCACAATTGCTTGTGGACACTCTAGAGATTAAAGTGATCATCCAGTTGACTTAATTATTTCTGATAAGTACATGGGTTGTTGCTCTTAATCAGTATTTAGTGTCTTTTTATATTTTCTCATCACCTGCATAACCAAAAATATACAAAGACCCTTGTGAACTGCTCTGACAACGGTAGCTGCTGAGGGTGTATGTTTCATTGCCTGGCAACATGTCTTACAGATTAGGGAGACTAATACAATTTTTATTGCCGTCGCCCCTGTCTGTGTGTATGTATGTATGTATGTATGTATTTTGGATTGGTTTGTAGATAAAGCTTTTAATGGAGCTTTCGGGAAAGGCAGAAACTTGATGGCCATTTATGCAGAAGATGCTAAATGGATTACAAAACAACACAATGCCGGCACTGATAATACAGCAAACCATTGGTTTACCAATGGGAACTGACCCCGCCCCATGTATGGCAAATGCACATTTATATTAATACGAATTCTACTTTTCAAGACCATAAAAGAAAAACAGATTACAAAGTAACTAAAATCTAAACTATACCTTCCGATACATTGATGACATAACACCTATCAATGATAATGGAAATTTCAACAAATATAAAAGTGAAATATATCCTCCTGAACTAATATTAAATAAAGAAAATTCCGGTACTATAAATGCATCTGTTCTTGTCCTGGACATCAATATAATTAACAATAAATTTAATGTCGGTATTTTCGACAAAACGGATAAATTTGGTTTTGAAGTAGTAAAATACCCGTCAATCTATAGTAACATACCAGATACCACGCTATATAGTGTTTTCCACGCTATATAGTGTTTTCTATTCACAGGCATTACAATTTTTGACAATATGTAACAATAAAGAACTATTTCTCTCCCGAATAAAATCTCTTTACTTCAAATGCACTGCCAAAGGCGGTACACAATTACGCATTTTAAAAGAAATTTAAAAACTTCTATTTCTTCAAAATACCAAGTTTAACATTTCTTGTAAGTATATAACCGACTACATACTGGATAATGATCCAATTTAAATTTTATTTTAGATTTTCTGTAGTTACCTAACCCTGTCTGAATTACCTCCCTTAATTTTTATGCCTTTATAAATACACTTACATAGTACAATTACTTCAGCATACCTGTTTTGCATTTCTTGAGTGGGGTATTATATTAATATATTATAAATTGTACAATTACATAACTTAATAATTCCGATTAGTCGCTAAAACTTATAGTTTTTAAGCCTTTAACGTTATTTTATCTGGATTATCGCCCTTATTATTGTGATTTTTTATCACCTTCTAAGATATGACGTCATTCCCAAAAGAACGTTGCCACTCAGTTAGCAGACGGCTGTCCCTCGAGACAGTCTACATTTCCTATTTGCTTCTTTGTATTCAGTTTTGTTTTTGTTTTTGTGACGGATGGAACATGTGTCCTATATGTATTGAATACTAAAATGTTTCTTGATTGAGTTTAGAGCATTTAGGTTTAGACTACATTT